CCCATTGCTAAAGTCCTGCGGAAACCCGAACTGGCGGGACGAATGATGGCGTGGTCCATCGAGCTCTCAGAATTCGACATATCATTCGAACCGCGCGGGCCGATTAAGTCGCAACACTGGGCTGAATTCGTCAATGAGCTACATCCCAACGGTCACTTTCAGAGCGACCAATGGACAATGCATGTGGACGGCTCTTCAAACAATACAGGCAGCGGGGCAGGAATAATACTCGAAGGGCCGATGGGGGTAGTCCTTGAACAATCCATGCATTTCGGATTTCGAGCCTCTAACAACCAGGCCGAGTACGAGGCACTTTTAGCGGGACTAAGACTGGCAGGTGACATTGGGGTCCGAAGATTGGTTTGTTGGACAGACTCCCAGATCGTATCGGAACAAGTTAATAATCATTTCCAGGTGAAAGATCCAAATTTGCTACGTTACTATCACCTATTCCATAACATGTGCTCCAACTTCGAGGAAGTTCAAGTACGACACACGCCGAGAGAAAACAATGAACGAGCCGACCAACTAGCCCGGTTGGTGGATTGCTCGTCCTGTTCGGCACCATACGGTATAGTATTTGTAATATTTAACCAACATCAATATTTTCTACAACTCATGAATCTTGTAATTGTAGGGACATTGACAAATAACAACTTGTATTTTATCTATATCATACCATATATCCATTTGTATGCTATAAATGACTATCGACATGTTGTTTTACTGCAACGTTTTGTTGCAAAATAGAATTATATAGTAATAAAAAAAATTGAAAGCGTACCTGAAAATGAATCAATGCTTCCTGTAGCTTGAATTAGATGCTCACCCTGATAAAATGGCCCAAAAGATTATGTGAAAGTTTTAAAAAAAAAAATAGTTAAAAAATAGGCACGAAATTAAATGAGACGAGTCCATGTGTTTTCTTCATATTTTCATCATGACTCATAATTACTTTGTTCATTGGTGGCATCTTCTAATCATAGTTAACTAACTAAATCTTAACTCATAATTGCTTAGATAGTTCAAGAACAGGCCAGGAAGTTCGTTGCAAATAGATTTTATTTTGTATATATTTAGGTATTGATCCAAAAAAAAAATTTTAAAATTATTTTAAATTCAAATTAATAGTATATTGTCAAGTCACATTATTATATTTTTTAAAATTTTAATAAACTTCTCTAAACATCACAGAAATCACTCCCTAATTCTTATAAGATGTAGTTATGTCTATGGTGCTGCTCTTGTTCTTTTCTGCTTATTTCGGACTCCATTTATAGCTCATCTTCTTGATTGCATTCAGCTATGGAGCCATTGCATGATTTTTTAATATAAAACGCGAAAGCTTTTATGAGAAATTAAACTAATCACAATTTTTAGTTTATTACGTTATCAATTTTCTCATCAGAATGTTTTCAAGAATATTATTCTTTAGAAATGCAATTATACGCTTTAAAACAAATATCTCCTTTAAAAACACATTTTGAAAGACTTATTTTGAGAAATTGATTTCAAGGACTTAAAATATATCGACTCCGAAATAAACAAATTCTCAATCTAGTGTAAACACACCTAAAAAAATTTGTTTAACAAAACAAGGGTTTAACAACTTAAACCACTAATTATTAGAGTATAGGATGTTATACTCTATTGCATTCTGTAATTCATTCAGTCGTAATTGCCTGTAACTTGCATTGTACTCTAATACTACTTAAATTATTCAAGATAATACTTCACCGACTCCAGTATTTACTCAACTTTAGGAGTATACATAACCAGTTATTTTCATTTATTGTATTTAAAGATTTACTCGTCAAATGGACTATAGATGACACAAATATATTTTATCCTGTTATAATGTTTCTAACTTTAAAAATCCTCACAACATTAATTTATTTATATATATATAAAAATAAAAAAAAGATTTTGAAGTTTGCATTCTGTGGCTTGACACCAATCTTTACCAAATAATACAAGGAATAAAAGCATCCCTAGAAGTTGTTTACACTAACCTTTGTTCGATTATTCTCAACCCAATCTTTAGACTGTAATAAAGCAAAAGTACAACATATTAGGCTAATCAATGTAATGTCAGATTTTGAACCAGGCAGATAACTAATATTTAACCAATATACCCAATATATAGCACTCATGAAGTTACTATACAACAATACAAATACAACCAGCTATATCCCATGGGTGGCGGATCTAAGACCATAAGTTGAATATTTTACTGGAATAAAAAAAATTTTAAAACAAAATTATCCAAATAGCATCTGTTACACATTATTTACCATATTAGCACCATTCACTGTTCATGCTCAAAATTTGGTTCCCGAGGAACCGAATTCTAAACAACTTTTTAATTTTTTAATTTTATTTTTTTTACGTTTTGAGTGTAGATTATGACATAAAACTGGAACCAAAATGGATCGTTTTGTTTTCAGAACGGGCCGTTCCAGATACTAAAATAACACATGACGAATGAATTAGAATGGATCATTCCAGACTCTAAATTAACACATGAACAGTAGAACCAAAATAGACCATTCTGAATCTGGAACGGGCCATTCTGTTCACATCTGACCGATAACCTAATTAAATTTATTGAATATTAGCATTATAAATATAACTAATTAAATTTATTAAAACTCGTTACAACAATAAAGATCAATAGTGGCGAGAACTAAATTCATTACCAATATTTGAACATGTCTCTCTAATGTGACCAGAGGTGTGACAATAGGAATAATTTTTTAAAATAAACTATGGTATGGTTAAACTTAGGCGTTCAAATTTGAATTTAAAATTCAAATTTGGGTCTGAAATCCTTGGCTTACCATGTGTTCCACGTGCCTCCATGTGATCACTACATTTGCATGTGATTTGAGTTGCATTTGGAGGTTAATTTAGATCATGCCATGTGCGCGACCCTTGACCGGGCACATGTGCTCTAAATTCACCTTAAATGTAACTCAAATGACATGTAATATAATGCTCACAATAATGCGTCCCTAATCTAATCCAACCGACTAAAAATACAAGGCCCAAAAGAAAACCTAAAACTACATGACCAAAATACAAGGTCTACAAAATAAGTACAAGCCCACATGGGCCAAAACCCTAATCTACTTAGGCTTCAAGGCACAGCCCAACTAAAAAGTGTCTTGGGCTTTACCTCTTTTGTATTAGCCCAATCATCCTCTATCCTTCTGATCATAGCCCTAGTAATTAGGCCCTTGGCCCATGGGCCTCCATCATTCTTTAAAGTCTCTAATGAAGGGGAAAACCCCTAAAATCACCTTCATTAGTGTAGATCTCTCTTAAAGTGAGACCACTTCAAGGAAGAAGATAAACTACTTCAAATCTCACCACACTCTCAAGAAGAGAATAAGAGAATTGGAAGTAAATCAAAGAAAGATTTAAGCTTTTGAGAGAGAAAATTTTTTAGGAGAATTTTGTCCAAACTCTAATGCTAAAAAATTGTCTACAAGTGGTTCCAAGCACCTATATATAGAGTTTAGATAGCCTATAGAAGAAGGTAAAGTCTAAGGTAGCTTAGAGAGGAAGTTAGATATCTAGGAGATAAGGAGACACTAAGATCTAGTTCCTCCAATCACAAACTGGCTCTAGGTGGTTGAAGAAGTAGTTCCAAGGATGAAAATTAACCAAGGTGGGCAACCAAGGTATCCTCGGCTAGTGGGCAACCAAGGTATCCTTGGCTAGTGTTGGTTGAACTAAAAATCAAGGAATTGGTTTGCTTTGATTAACCAAATGAAGGTTAAACCAAGTCAAATCAATTTCTTGGGCTAAGAGAAGAAAAACAAGTCCAATATCACTTTGGTTATTTTCACACCTATACTACTTCCACATCATTTAGAATGACTATTGCCACACCACTAGAATGACTATTTTCACTCTAACTACCAAACTAAAAAAAAAAAAAAACAAAATAGTAACTATGAATACAAAGTCAAAAGGAATACATTTCAATAAGGAACATCCCTCTAACTCCTAAAGGCGTGACCTACAAATAAGGAAAGATACACCCCTAAATACAAGGGTAAAAACAACCTATACATTTAACTACTACATACAAAGAAATGGAAAACAAACTATACAAAGTATATACAGACTAGGCAACTAGGAGGGGAACACATACTCTATGTTCATAATACGCACAGGTCTAAGAAATACATTCTCTCTAGTAACTTCTTCTAGCCTCCTAAATATAGATCTTGTTAAAAGTTCCATGATCTTCAAGAATGGTCATCCATCAAAGGGTTTCTGAGAACAGATTGCTAAAAGCAATTCAAAGAAACCCTTAATTGGCAGCAAATACTAGAATTGATGTCCAATCAATTCCCACTTGCACAACCCTTGCATCCACAATGAACTCACTCTATGAACTTCTCTTCCCCAAGTTGCTTGGGAACTTGGCAAACACAAGTGGTGGTAAAATTGTGATCCCGCGGCTGCGTGCACCTCAGGCAGCAATTCAAACAAAAAACGTAAGTACTCAAAATCCAAGAAGGCACATAGAATGTACAAATGAAATAAAATCTTAGAAACAATAATACGATAATTTGTTTTTAACATTTTTTGCAACCAGCGAACAATAACTTTACAACAATTAACATCTTGGAGAAGGCACAAATGAGTATAGCATTATCATATTTTTTTCATTTCACAAGTCCTCAACATCAGACTGGGAATGAGTTCAAACTTATTTTTGGATGATCTTGACTTTGTAAAGTTGATTGATTATTTGATTATAAGTGAATTTGAAACAATGTAATAATATGGGAAGACTAAATATGACAAAAACATAGTAAAAAGTTTGAGCCATGATTTTAGGCGTGGCAAATGCAAACTAAATATGATAATCTAGTTGTATTGACTATTGAGCATATATCATGGTTGCAAATCCTAGAGAGCAATTCAAGCAGGCAGCCCAAAAACTCTAGACAGATGGGTGCTATACTGAAGGTTATGCTTACAAGATAAATTATTGTATATTATACACATAAATGCTAAAGAAACCCAAAATTGAAGACGTTTCTTTAATAATCAAATGCAAGGGGTATAAGTCCAAGGCATGATCAAAAGTTTCGTAACAAACAAAAGTGAAGGATCATAAGCCTGCAATGAACAACAGGAATGGCAATGAAAGTAAAAAGAGACGGATGATGCCAGGGTATGGAGTGTGTACACAACATACAGAGCAGGGGAAAAATAAGAACAGAGGAAGTCTTAAAAGAGCATGCTGCACAGACCTGTGAAAACCTTGAGCACAACAGAGGGACAGGACAAAAGGTTTGTTCTAGGCTTAAAATGAAGGGGAATCAGGCTTGGTAATTTGGCATCTTAACAGAAAAACATTGCCTCAGAGGTTAAATGACTTTGGCACCAAGCATATCAGAGAAGTACAACTCAATAGAACAGGTGGGATGCAAACCAACCGAGCAACACTGACCACCATAGTAGTTTTTGGAATTGGAAATTTTCCAATAAAATATTTCTATTGTTTGGGTGATGGCATCCTTGTCAAGCTTTTCCCATATGATATTTCAAATACAAAGCTTCTTAAACATTCAATGAAAAGTGAGGGTGGCTGTTACCCAGAGAAAAGAACGGAGGAAGTTAGGGGTTCAGAACAGAGGTGATTGAGAGTGTAAAATAAACAGAAGTATGGAAGGTGAATGTTGCTAGAAATATTCCAAAGATATGCACATCATGGATCTGCACCTAAGAAGGTTGATACCATCTCAAATCTACTCGAGAACATATGAAGGAAAGGAGTTAATCTATAACTGTACCTTTGCAGATGCTTCTATGAGGCATTCAAGCACTAAAGCAATTGCACATTCGTCAAACAATGCTAGTTGTGTAACTATTTCAACGTTAGCTTTACACTGAAACAAGAATATGAAGCATTAAGCACAAGGCTTTAACCCAATACAAGTTACAATAACCCTATCACTAAACCATTCAGCAGAATCGACAGTTACATCTCAAAACCCAGAAACCAACCTCATGACTTTATGAGCATCATTGCTTGATGTGGAACCTATCTAGACACCTCATCCATAAAACCTCAGCTGAGAGTGTGTCTCTTACCTGTGTGATGATAATTCAATATGCAGCCATAGAAAAAAAAATGATAAAAGGAAAGAAAAGGGGGTTCATAACTCCAAAGAAAAATATTTATTCAAACAAAACAACTTATGCTAAAAGATTAGAATTACAAAAAAAAAAATGTTGTAGAGATATTTCAAAGTATAAATGTTCAACTAACCTGTCATTGCTGAAAGAAGGTCTTCCCTCGTACGTAATATATAACTAATTGAGTGCATAAAGTGATTCCAATCTGCAAATCAAGAACCTTGAAGTCAAATCATTAATTTAAATGGGGGAAAATGGTCAAATGTTAAAAAAAATGTTCAAGATTCTGTTAATTAGACTTGTAGAAGGGGCAGCATGCATCCATGTAATAGATCTCAGATTTTTGTTTCCTAACAGGTAATAAATATAAAAAAATATAAAAAAATTATAATAAAAAAAAAAAAACTATCACAATGAACTAGGAGAGAGGATAAGTACAGTGCAGGATGAACAGGAATCCTCCTAAAACAAAAGAAAAACAAATAAATACACAAGAAGGAAAACAAGGTATAAAATAGAAATAGCTCAAAAGAGCGATCCATGATAAAAATGAAGCTACTGAACACTTGCTCATACTACAGTAAATTTGAGTGAGAAGTTTCCATGATCCAGAAAATTTTTGAGTGCTCCACTAAAGTTCACCTTTTGTATAACATATCATAGAATAGATCAATATATATTGTCTAGTTCATCAGATTTTTTCTGTTGAACTTGATGGTTTGTACCTTCATAGTTGAAATTTATTAATTTAAATACCAGTAGCTGGAAAAGGAATGAGCCCTAAAACCAATAGATAGAATCCATTTGATAAATGTGTAACATTCGGCAATTAGCCAATTACATGATTTCTTACAAGTATTGAATTTACTTTGACAGAATTTATGCTGTCAATTATCATTTCCTAGCAACATTAATTTAATTATTCTTAATGTTATGGGGAGAAAAGGCATCCTAATGTAACTTGCTTCATCGGTAAACTTACTTGAAGGCAAATATATACTTTTAAGTAAAAAAAAATAAAAATGCAAGGATAAGGCCTAATTTCTAAATTGCATATAGGTCTTCTTAGAACTTAGTCCAAGACTTAACCTTACAAAATTAGTTTGCAAGGTGAAAAATTGTTCTAGCCTTACAACAACTACATTGGTTATATCTCTAGTCAATATGGGATCTCAATCGGTCAATTATTTATTCTAAGCTATTTTAATAAGTTGAGAATATATCAAAATAAATGTGCACGCAAAAGTGGTAATACTCACCACTAAAAATGTCAAGGAACAATTCTCTTAAAAGTTTTAGCTGTTCGGTGGAGCTTAGAAAGCCTATGCCAGTTCTCACTTTGGGATCCTATATGGACTTGGAACATGAATAAATTGAGAGGCTGGATTTGACTAAACGCTAGTGAAACTCTTGAAATTTGCTATCTTTTTGGAAACAAAAATTCTTGAATTCTGGTGTCTCCTTTATTAGTAGATAAGTAGTTGATAATCATTTCTGTGGTGGCAGCATCTACTGAAAAACCTTTGTCTCCCATTATTGTAAGGTATTTTATTGACTTTACAACCTCCCTTTTTGTCAGCAAGCCTTGAACAAAGACATTGTAAGTGCAATTATTTGGAAGGCAGCCATTCTCTTCCATAATCATCAGCAAGTCTTCAGCTTTATCCAACAGCCCATGTTTACAGAGACCTTTAATCATAATGGTATAAGTATAAACATTAATTTGCAAACCTTTAGCAGGCAAACTAGAAAAGAGTTCCCATGCAGCATTCAGTTTTCCAGCACCGCACATTCCGTCAAGCAAAATACTATAACTCACAATATTAAGATCCAAATTACTCTTGGCCTGCATCAGTTTTCCTTCTTTGCAGAAAGCATCCACTAAAACATTGAGTGTTTGCAAATCCGGCATCATCCCCGTTTTCACCATCTCATCCAGCAGAAAACTAGCCTCTTTCCATCTTCCCAAATTGCAAAGACCTTGAATCAAGCAAGTGTAAGTGACAAGATTAGGCTGAACACCTTTGCCACTCATTTCCGAGAACAAATTTAACGCCTCAGAAACCAATCCATCCTTGCACAAACTATCAATAATTGTGCTGTAAACGACCACATTAGGTTTCCAATTTCTTTCCTCAATCTTCCTTAGCCACCCAACCGCCATGGAAGTGTCTCCCATCTTACACAACCCATTGATCAACACCCCATATGAGTAAACATCTAAGGGATACCCCATTTTTTCCATATGATCAGCCAGCCTCACTGCCTGAGCCACATTGCCTTGCACACAAAGCCCATTAATGAGAGTGGTAAGAGTCATCACAGTTGGCTCCAAACCAAGTTTGAACATAGTACCCAAGACAGAGAATCCAAAAGCTATCAACTTCAAATGGCAAAGGCAATTGATGACAATATTAAGAGTAATGGTGTCAGCTTCTATGCCTAGAGAAGAAAACATGTGTTTAACTAAAGACATGGCAGTGGTGTAATGCTTCAACCTCACAATAACCCCTAATAACAAAGTGAAGTCCTTCACAGAAGGCAAAGGCTTCATTTTGGTCATGCCACTAAACAAGTCCAAAGCTTCATCCAAGTTTTTCACTTTACCTGACCTACACAGGCTTCTCATGGAAATCAAGAAGTGGGTGTGCTTCTCAGAGTCGTCGGAGTTTGCAGTAGGGACTGTGGAGCAATGACAGAACTTGAAAAGGGAATGAGAGAAAGTATCATTGGGATGAAGAAGACGAAAACGAGAGAGAGAGGGTATTCTCCGAAGCATTCAAAATCACTCTTTTGCTTCAAAACACCATCTTCGTTGCAAAATCTGGTGAGGGTTTAGGATTCTTACTTTTGCTAAGAGGCACAAGGTATAGTTTCTTTTCTTTTCTCCACCACGACGCTACGTGTTTCACGATATCTATTTCCGTTTCTATAATTGGTATAATTTTTGTCATATCTAAGTTTTTATCAGATATTAGGTATATTTGTACTTGTATTTATATATATAAAAAATTATTTTTTAAAAAAAAATACACAATATTTTTTAATTATTTTACAATTATAATTATATGCCTATACTTGTACCTGGTCAAACCGAGTATTCTTCGTCAAAGTCGAAACGAATTCGAGTATTATCCATAAATATGAATTTATTTATCATCCCTTACCACAAGTCCTACTTTACCCCCAAGTCCCTAACCCTCCCTATACTCATTATGGGATTGATATCAGAAAAGTTGGATTTTTAATAGGTAGGATTAAATTTTTTTGTAATGCTGAAATTTTCAAATTTTTAAGGAATTATAACAATATTTTTATAAATTAAACTGTTTTGATATAACTAATTTTTTAAATTAAATAATGTAAGGTATGAATTTTTTTTTCTTCTCCTTTTCACTTATTTTTCCTTTACACTAAGTGATGTGTTATTGATAAATAGATAATCCATGTAATTAACTTACTCTTTCTTCTTATCAAATAATAGTTCAAGTGTTTTAAATTATTTTATAGAAATTACAATAACTTTGAGAAAAACACAATTAGATTTTATTTGCTGAAGTAAAGGAAGATTTATATTTAAATAGAAAAGATAAACTTCATGAAAATTAAACAATTTTAAAATCAACTTTTCATGTATTTAAAAATAAATAAATAAAAATAGTCTCAAAATTCTTTAAATATATAAGAATATTTAAAGGGTTTTGAGAGGGTCATCCAATGTATAGTGATCTAATCCAAGACTCCTAGGTTGTCGTGTATTGGTGATGATGAGATTGGTATTACATTCATGTAGAGTTAAGAGCCTATATTGCATAAGTCGTTTTTTATGTGAAAATTTATATGGAATAAATGTATTGGTGTTGTTGAGATGAGTGTGCTTTGGATGTTGGACATACATACATACATACTTGTGTGTGTGGTTGATGTTTATTCATGGATGCATGTGTGTTAGTACTATTCATATACCTTGTAAGTGTTATACATGGATGAGATATATTCTTACTCTTTGCATTTGTGTTGTTATGTTTGTTTGGGTTGATCAATTGTAGAAATAAAGCAAATACATGAGGTTAGGTATATGATAGAGAGGAAGCTTAGTACGTTGATGTTGTTTTGAAATCTTGCTCTAACAATGTGACATTGGAAGTTGAGAGTTTTTTATGGTTTCCTAGTAATAAATGGGATTTATTTTACTTATGATTGTTTATGTTTTTCGTTTAGAAGTTTTGTATAAAAGATTGATTTGTCCTTTATTTTTGGACGTGTGTTGATGTTTATTAACCTATTTATTAAAGAGTTTTTTTTATTCAATATATTGTGAACCCTTTTACTTTATCGAGTTATATTTAAAATATTTATAACATTTTAAATTTAATGTATTTTTATTAGAAGTCCTTATTTGTAATGCTTTAAAGTAGAAGGGTATCACAAATTAGATTGAAAAATGCAAATTTAATAAATTTGTATCGGATAATAGATTTTGGTGTTGAGAATCAAATCCAAACCGATTCTTTGATCAATTATTATATATTATTATTATTTTTTATATTTTCATAAAGATTTAAAATTTATTAGTAAAAAAAGGTTTAAACTTTAGAGTTTTGATTAAAAGCTCAGTAAAATATTTCTATTTATTCTTAATATTATAACACTTTAATTAACACAACATAGTTTACACACACTTCTATATTTCTATATTTTTATTTCCCCTTTAATATGTTAGTGTTAAAGTTTAAGTGTATACTAGTATTTTCATTTATACAATGCACATTTTAAATATTTATTATATATAACTAAAATTAAAATAAATTATGTGTAGAAATAAATATTATGTTTGAATATAAATTATATTAAAATTTAAATAAATAGATATTTTTAAATATATAAATTACATTTTAAATTTATGATAAATAATTTATATTCTAACACAAGATTATTTTTATTTATTGATAATTTATTTTAAAATATTGAAATTCAATTCATAAATAATTATAATAAATAAAAACTTAACCAAATATGAAATTATGAAATCACTAAAAAATTTATTGTAAAAAAAAAACCTTTAATAAAACTCTAATATAAGATAATCATTCGTATTATATATATAAAAGTTGATTTGTAACAATAATTCATTTTGTATGAGAATGAATATAACATTAATTTAATTTTTTTCAATATTTTATTTTGTGTTAATTTTTAATTTTTATATGATAATTCTAATAATATAATCCATACCAATCTAACTTGTAATCAAATTGGTTTGGTTTGCATTACAACTTTTTTTTAAGAGAAATCTAATCCAAAATGATACAATTACATTTAATTAAATTGAAAAAGAAAATAATTACACAAATTCAATCCAAATTGATTTGTGCCCACCCCTAATTAATGACTAAAAAAATTGTAAAAATTAAATGCCCAACTTCATAAAAGTCTTATAAAGACACAATCACTCTTTCAAGTTACAAATGTACCAAAAGTACATGTGACAAATAAATAAATAAAACTAAACATAAAATAAGGTCTAGCAAAACGCATCATTGCATATGAGCATAAAATAATGAATAAATCAAACAAAGGATATATAAAATTATATTGACATTCTTTATACAACATGTGACACCCTTACTACCCCAACACATATATAATAAAATTAAATTTGAATTTAAAATTCAAATTTGGGTCTGAAATCCTTGGCTTACCATGTGTTCCACGTGCCTCCATGTGATCACTACATTTGCATGTGATTTGAGTTGCATTTGGAGGTTAATTTAGATCATGCCATGTGCGCGACCCTTGACCGGGCACATGTGCTCTAAATTCACCTTAAATGTAACTCAAATGACATGTAATATAATGCTCACAATAATGCGTCCCTAATCTAATCCAACCGACTAAAAATACAAGGCCCAAAAGAAAACCTAAAACTACATGACCAAAATACAAGGTCTACAAAATAAGTACAAGCCCACATGGGCCAAAACCCTAATCTACTTAGGCTTCAAGGCACAGCCCAACTAAAAAGTGTCTTGGGCTTTACCTCTTTTGTATTAGCCCAATCATCCTCTATCCTTCTGATCATAGCCCTAGTAATTAGGCCCTTGGCCCATGGGCCTCCATCATTCTTTAAAGTCTCTAATGAAGGGGAAAACCCCTAAAATCACCTTCATTAGTGTAGATCTCTCTTAAAGTGAGACCACTTCAAGGAAGAAGATAAACTACTTCAAATCTCACCACACTCTCAAGAAGAGAATAAGAGAATTGGAAGTAAATCAAAGAAAGATTTAAGCTTTTGAGAGAGAAAATTTTTTAGGAGAATTTTGTCCAAACTCTAATGCTAAAAAATTGTCTACAAGTGGTTCCAAGCACCTATATATAGAGTTTAGATAGCCTATAGAAGAAGGTAAAGTCTAAGGTAGCTTAGAGAGGAAGTTAGATATCTAGGAGATAAGGAGACACTAAGATCTAGTTCCTCCAATCACAAACTGGCTCTAGGTGGTTGAAGAAGTAGTTCCAAGGATGAAAATTAACCAAGGTGGGCAACCAAGGTATCCTCGGCTAGTGGGCAACCAAGGTATCCTTGGCTAGTGTTGGTTGAACTAAAAATCAAGGAATTGGTTTGCTTTGATTAACCAAATGAAGGTTAAACCAAGTCAAATCAATTTCTTGGGCTAAGAGAAGAAAAACAAGTCCAATATCACTTTGGTTATTTTCACACCTATACTACTTCCACATCATTTAGAATGACTATTGCCACACCACTAGAATGACTATTTTCACTCTAACTACCAAACTAAAAAAAAAAAAAAACAAAATAGTAACTATGAATACAAAGTCAAAAGGAATACATTTCAATAAGGAACATCCCTCTAACTCCTAAAGGCGTGACCTACAAATAAGGAAAGATACACCCCTAAATACAAGGGTAAAAACAACCTATACATTTAACTACTACATACAAAGAAATGGAAAACAAACTATACAAAGTATATACAGACTAGGCAACTAGGAGGGGAACACATACTCTATGTTCATAATACGCACAGGTCTAAGAAATACATTCTCTCTAGTAACTTCTTCTAGCCTCCTAAATATAGATCTTGTTAAAAGTTCCATGATCTTCAAGAATGGTCATCCATCAAAGGGTTTCTGAGAACAGATTGCTAAAAGCAATTCAAAGAAACCCTTAATTGGCAGCAAATACTAGAATTGATGTCCAATCAATTCCCACTTGCACAACCCTTGCATCCACAATGAACTCACTCTATGAACTTCTCTTCCCCAAGTTGCTTGGGAACTTGGCAAACACAAGTGGTGGTAAAATTGTGATCCCGCGGCTGCGTGCACCTCAGGCAGCAATTCAAACAAAAAACGTAAGTACTCAAAATCCAAGAAGGCACATAGAATGTACAAATGAAATAAAATCTTAGAAACAATAATACGATAATTTGTTTTTAACATTTTTTGCAACCAGCGAACAATAACTTTACAACAATTAACATCTTGGAGAAGGCACAAATGAGTATAGCATTATCATATTTTTTTCATTTCACAAGTCCTCAACATCAGACTGGGAATGAGTTCAAACTTATTTTTGGATGATCTTGACTTTGTAAAGTTGATTGATTATTTGATTATAAGTGAATTTGAAACAATGTAATAATATGGGAAGACTAAATATGACAAAAACATAGTAAAAAGTTTGAGCCATGATTTTAGGCGTGGCAAATGCAAACTAAATATGATAATCTAGTTGTATTGACTATTGAGCATATATCATGGTTGCAAATCCTAGAGAGCAATTCAAGCAGGCAGCCCAAAAACTCTAGCCAGATGGGTGCTATACTGAAGGTTATGCTTACAAGATAAATTATTGTATATTATACACATAAATGCTAAAGAAACCCAAAATTGAAGACGTTTCTTTAATAATCAAATGCAAGGGGTATAAGTCCAAGGCATGATCAAAAGTTTCGTAACAAACAAAAGTGAAGGATCATAAGCCTGCAATTGGCTTACCATGTGTTCCACGTGCCTCCATGTGATCACTACATTTGCATGTGATTTGAGTTGCATTTGGAGGTTAATTTAGATCATGCCATGTGCGCGACCCTTGACCGGGCACATGTGCTCTAAATTCACCACACACTGATATCTTTTATATATTACACCATGCAAAAAGAAAATTCTTTCTATAATTTCATGTTTGTGTGATACTACTAAGACATCCTTTTCATATTTTATGTTTTGTTCTTACTGTTTTCGATTTATTATATTTTTTTATAACTTGAAGGTAGTTGCAACTTTACTAGACTTATATGAAATTTTATATCAATGTTTTTATTATTTTTATCTGGTCATGAAAATTAAGATTTTTATTTCATGTAGGCAAGTTAAAGTTTAAAATTTACAAATTTATCTAAAATAAAAGTTTAGTCCCTTTAAGACAAGATTATTTTAATTTTAATCTTCTTAATTCTAATTATTTTCATATTAATCCTCTCAAATTTAATAATTTTTGTTTTGGCCTTCTCAGATTTCAGTTATTTTAGTTTAGTCTATTTTCTATTTTGCTTCCTATAATTTTCTTGCTTTTCTATTTTGGTCATATATATATTACTTTTTCAATTAGATTTAACAATCAATTTGTTGGGAAGGAATAAAATGAAAAAAAAATTAAAGGGACAAAAAAAAACTAAAATGAAAAATACCTTATTTTAGGAGGAGTAAAAAGCTATTTAAACTATTTGAATATATAATAAAATATCATATAACTTTTAAACTTTGCAAGAAATTATTGACCCAATGTATTCATTTAAATATTTTAATTTAACAGTTTGATAGTTAAAATTCAATATAGATAATGAATTATTGAGTGAAATAACTTTACCTATAGTTACTCTACTTAATAACTTATAATATACGTTAAATTTTTCAACAATCATATTGTTAAATTAAAAGTTCTTGTGGAATAAATAAAGTTTACAAAATTTTCAAAATTATTTGAAAATTTGTTTGATAAATTCAAATTAACTTATATGTAACGGTAAAAAAATTAACTAATATTCATAAAATAATGTTATACATTAATATTAATTAACTTAAATATGTTTTTGTTCCTTATAAAATAGACGAGTTTTGATTTTAATCTCTATAAAAAAATTTCCTTGTTTTTGATTTTTTTAAAATATGTAAACATTGTTTTTGATCCTTATAAAATATGCTTCGTTCTCGTAAAATGAGTAAATTTTGATTCTAGTCCATATAAAAATATTTCTTTGATTTGCATCACTCAAAAATTTAAAATCATTATTTTTTCACTAACGATGGTTTTAAGATATATAAATAACATTTATTTTAAGAATGTATAAAACTTTTTAGAAGTAGCATGCACTAATATAATATCATGTTGTAGATAACACCCAGAATTATCACTTTACCTTTTAATGAAACAAACAAATAGTTAAAAATGAATACATATTAATAAGGATTAACGAAATATCAAGTCATTTCTAAACTTTGCAAATATTATGTAAACTTCATCTACTTAATAAAAACTTCTAATTTAATAGTTAAATTTTTGAAATTTAATATATATAATAAGTGAAATAATTTTATAGAAATTACTCTTGAAACCCATATATGTGTGTGTTTATGATCACATTTATATTATTGTTTCTTAAATGTTTGTAAAATTATCACTTAATTTATACTTAATAATAAAAAAATTATATAATTAAAAATATGTTCATGATCACATATATTTAAATTATTTCTTAAATGTTTGTAAATTATCACTTAATTTATACTTATTTATAAAATAAAATTATCTAATTTAAGGTTTTTTTTGTAGCTATGTAAGTAAAGATACGAAAATATAATTATCAAGTGGTATAAATTTATTTTTAAAAGTTTGTATTTAAATAGTTATACTACCATAAATTATGTAAAGACGTAAAAGAGGTTTAAAATTTTAAGCTAACTTTTAGTTATATTTAATATATACATTACCATTTAATTAATAGTAAAAAATAAAAGATTAAAACAAAAAAAACAACCAACTCGAATCTGCTTTAATCGATTTGGGTCGAATTTAAATCGAAATGAAATTTGATTAAAAGATGAATTTTGAAAATTAAAACAATTAGATAAGATGATTTTTATCTTCAAAAATCTCTGAACAAATTCAATCCATAAAAGTACTTTATTTTCATTTTATTTTCCGTATTCAAAATTCGGCAACTCATCCCAATGAAACAATGACCTCTCACAGCCACATTGAAAACCACCATGTGTTCAGTTAACTGCTATGTGATTTTTCTTGGTTGTTTCGCAATCCTTTATGTACTGAGATTTCCTGTCTGCCAATGAAATTTATTTTTCACTCCAGTAACAACAATATGTCCTCATTGATGTGTGATTTATACCTATTATAAAAGGATTACCGGATACATAACTATTTTTAGCTTCCACTTTTTCATAGAATATTATACCTCATAATTGCCAAAAATGAAAAGAAAAAAGAAACAACCTCTTATGTTTCGTGAATAACTCACCCACAATTACCATTAAATTATTTTTCTTTATTTTTTTTTCATTTTGAAGAAATTAAGAGACACAATGTGCCTCTTTTCCTTACTAGTGTTCATAAGACTACTTTCATATCAATAACCTGAACACGTCAGACAATAGAAAAAGCGGCACCAATTTCCTCCAAAATCTGAGAGACTACGAATTAAAGACATGATTTGTTAGCTCATCATTTTACCTATCAAACACTCGTTGGGCAGGGACCAAAATATTTTACTTAAAGTAGGCAATGAATCTTACACCATATTGACTGCATTTGTCAGAATGCTAATAACACTCTTTTTTGCCTCCAAAAGCACGGCAAAAAATAAGCATCAACATGAAATACAATCAATGTGAAATGTGGAAACAAACCGGGTAAAGTGTCCCATATACGAATGCCAGTCAACCTGAAAATTCAAAAATATTAAGATGAAGACAAATACTGCGGCTCGTTATATCTCTGCTAATTTTTTGGTAGCAACCGAGAACATGCTTAAATCCAAATTAAAAATCGCAAGTTTATGTCTCAATCTCAAATAATGACAGACATAACATTAATTATGATAAGGGGTAGGTATGGCAAGTCGTACATATAGAAATACGACACCAAATTTAAAGCCTGGTCTATGTCAGTCAGCCAAAGACTTAAGTTTGACATAAGAGTGGGGCCTTGCGAGACACTTTTGTTCTAGTTATGATTAAAACAACTTAGCACTCACGACCTTAAGTATGGTCAGATACAGATATACAGAGTGTCATGTTTTAAAACAGCAGAAATGTAAATAATACTGATAACATGCATGCATGAAACTGGTGCCCCAGGATTCTACAGCGATATACTTGCACTGGCTTATGATCCAAATGGCTGACAATAAAATGAAACATTTGCATTACCATTAAATCCATATATAATTGAAAGAGAAAAGCATGCCAATAAGAATGGATGTAATAAGGAAGGATTTACCCTCAGATTTCTGGAGAATTTCTTTCTTCACTGAGAGGCTTCAAGTTGCTGTGTGTTAGATGCATTCTCTGAAGTGTCTATGCAGGGACTGTTTTTAATTTGATCCATAGACTGGGCATCAAACCAAGAATTCTTAATCCCAAGATGAGAAAGATGTTGATTATTTTTCAAGTCTTCATCTGGTATGCAACTCACAGGAAAGTTCACCAGCTTAGCTTCTTTGCTTTCACATTGCAGCTTAGTAGACATAGGCGACTCCAGCTTGTCAGCATAGTCTTGGGTTAACTCCATAGGCCTATGAAAAAGTAAATGAGCCACAGTTCTATCGATGGGATTCGTCTCTGTTTCAACATCAGGCATCCTCGCATATCTGTGATACCAATATGATTCATACAGTAAAAATAGTTAGCAACATAGCATCTTAACACTGCAATGAAGGTAAACATTTACCAATATCTTAGATACATAACCATGCTTATATTGAAGATATTACTGCATCTTTAATAAGGTAACTATGAAATAGAATCCATACTCTAGTCATAAAAAGATGTTCAATTGGATAACAAAGGCACACAAGACCTCAAAGATCAAACTCAGAAATAAGAGAATGATAAAAATGAGAGAAAAAAATCTATTAATTTTTCTTTGCCAAGGAAAAAAAAAACTCTTTTACACTTGAAAACAGTTGATTTCAGTAATCCCCAATAATCCCCCCTATTTCATATAAATTGTTAAATCCTTCGCTTCTTAACTCCCAAATGATTAAACAGACCTTTCTAGAATATACCTTCAATACCGGAACCTCTAACGATTTCTTCCCCCTCCTGTTGAACAAACAACTAAATAGGCTTTGGTTGTTCCTCATTGAAAGCATGCCATGTAGGCTGAGATTTATGTTTTAATTGCTAATCAAGCTTGGACTTAACCCTCTTTACTAGCTGACAGATCTGCCATTGGTTGTAAATGGGTGTATAGGATCAGAAAATCCTGATGGGACAGTTAACAAATATAAAGCATACCTCGTGGCTAAAGGCTTTCATCAAAGGCCTGATTATGATTCTACAGAAACATTTTCTTTATTTGTGATGCCTGTACTTTTGAGAGCTATTCTTACTCTTGCCCTGACTAATCAATGGCCACTACCGCAAACTGATGTAAACAATGCTTTCCTTGATGCGTATCTTGAGGATGTGTGTATGGTTCAGCCTCTAGGATGAGTCTAATGATAAGAGTCTTGTTTGTAAACTCAGTAAGGCTATCTATTGGCTATGAAAGGCGCCCACGCCCAGGGCCTAAAATGACAGATTAACTCAGACCTTTGTGTCTTTTGGGTTAGTTCACCAAAAATGTGGGGCAGCTCTATGTTCTTGTTTATGTTGCTTATATTATTATCACTGTATCGCCAGCTTTCTCAGCTCAGATTCTAATTAACATGCTAAACAAAGTTTTTGCTCTCGAACAAATGGAGAATCAAATTATTTTTAGAGTATTGAGATTAAGAGGCATTCTACAGGTGTTCTTCACTTGTCTCAAACCAAGTATACATTCGGGACTTGTTACACAGTGCCTAATTTCACCAGATTTGGAAGTGGTTAACTTGGGGATCCTGCTTTGTACAGGTCCATCGTGGGGGACTCTGCAATAAATCAGAGTGACATGACTCAACATTGGCTTTAGTGCGAATACTGTGTCAATTCATGGCATAACCTCTTCAGCAATATAAGAGAAAGAATTGAGAGAACTTTTGTGAAAAGATATTATTGATTAAAGAATTAAGACGGTGATACACGAGAGGTATCACTTACATATATAGTCCTAACAGACTAACTAACTCGAGGGTTAGCAAGCCTACAAAACTAACCAACTTGAAGAGTTGGCAAATACAAACAGAAAATACATTTGAATAATACAGCAAATAATAAAAGTGTTTATTATCCTATTCTCTTCTCTAATACACCCCCCACAAGCTCAAGGGGGATGAAACATAGCAGATAAATCAACAACATTGAGCTTGGAGCGAAGAAATAGAAATCTCTTAGGCGACAAGGCCTTGGTCAGAACATCTGCATATTGATGTTGAGCAAGAATATGCGAAACAACAAGAGACTTGCTGAGCACTTTTTCACGGACAAAAAAGATATCAAGCTCCATGTGCTTAGATCTTGAATGTAAAACAGGATTGTGAGATAGTGCTACTGTGCTTTGATTATCATAGAGCACTATAGGAGTGTTTAGGGGAACCTTTAATTCCTTTAGAAGTGACTGAATCCACAAGACTTTAGTTACTGCTTGAGCCAAAGCTCTATACTCAGCCTCAATGCTTGATCTTGCAACAAGCAGCTGTTTCTTGGACCACCAAGACACTAGATTAGGACCAAGATAAAGGCAGGCCGCTAAAGTAGACCTTCGATCGTTCGGATCAAATGCACAATCAGCATCAGTAAAGGCAGTAAGATTGAAGGAGGCTTGTATACTTTGCAGGCGAGAACACAAGTCCATGTCCGACAATTCCTTTTAGGTACCTAAGTATTCTTTTAACAACTTTCCAATGTTCTTCCATGGGAGAGCACATAAACTGACTTACTTTATTAACACTAAAGGAAATCTCAAGACGTGTAATTGTGGCATATTGCAATGCACCAACTACGAACCTGTATAAGGTAGGGTCATCAAAGAGAGTACCATCTTTAGTAAGCTGCTGGCCGCCAATCATAGGAGTGGAGATGCCCTTGGAATCTTCCATTTTGACCTTGGTAAGAAGATCAGTAATGTACTTGTCTTGGGAAATAATCCAAGGTACCAAGGTCTTTAAGAGAGAAAATTTCATTAAGTTGAGTAATGAATTTTTGCAGCAAGGAAGGAGAATTCCCAATGAGAATAATATCATCTACATAGACAAGCATGAAGACAATGGCAGTAGATGAAGAGAAGATAAACAAACTAGGATCACACTTGCTTTTGTTGAACCCAAGCATGAGTAATACAAACGTTAGTTTGTCAAACCAAGCATGGGGAGCCTGTTTCAAGCCATAAAGAGATTTGTCCAGCTTGCAGACAAGGTGTTTTTTGGCAGGATCAATGAAACCAGGAAGCTGAGACATGTAGATGTCTTCTTCAAGCATGCCATTGAGAAAGACATTATTAATATCAAGCTGTCGAAGAGGCCACCAAAAAGAGACAGCAAGAGATAGAACAATTCGGATGGTGACAGTTTGACAACAGGAGAGAAGGTTTCAGAAAAATCCAGACCAGGTTGTTGATGAAAACCCTTGGCAACAAGCCAAGCCTTGTATTTATTAATGGAGCCATCCAATGGGTTTTCTTCCAGAGGGCAGGGCAACTAATTTCCAGGTGCTGTTGTCATGTAAAGCTTTGATTTCAACTTGCATGGCAACAAGCCAATTAGGATCAGCTAAAGCAGTTTTAACTGTCTTAGGCACAACATGAGAAAATAGGAGTGTGGGATGAATTCTGGGTTGAACAATGCCATTTTTGGAACGAGTGGTCATTGGATGAATATTGGGGGGTCTGCCAGGGGATAAAGCTGAAGAAGAGTCTCGTTCAAATCCTGTGATTTGACAAAACATGAATGAGGATAGAACACAAAGTAGACATTGTTGTCTTTGGCAAACTTAGAGACACTGATCAGATTTTTGGTTAAAGTAGGAACAAGTAATAAATCTTTTAGATAGAAAACTGTGGAAGGATGAACAGGGGACCTAAAAACATTAGAACCAATTGAAGCAATAGATGTACCTTGGCCATTGGCCATGACAATGTGCTCGGCTCCTGTAAACTGAGCACTCTGGAGGAGATGTTGAGGATCAGGCGTGACATGATGAGAGGCACCGGAATCGGGAATCCACGCAATAGCAGTGTTCAGAGTTGGTGCAGCACGTGGAACAAAGGAAGCAGCACCAGAATAACTTGGCTGGGTAGGTGGTGAGGCAGGGAAGGTGAACCCAGGTGGTGGAAGGAAAAAACCAGAAGGAGTAGACCCAAAGGGGCCACCCAAGGCATAGGGAGGCCACAAGACTTGTCCTGAAAGACCAAGCATATTGGTAGAACCAAAATGAGAAACCGCACCAGTGTTAGGAGGAAAAGCAGAACCAGGACTAGAGTTTTGAGACAGATACGAGTGTTGAGGATTGAGACCAAAGGTGGGGTAAGAGGCAAGCATTGGATTGAAAGGCATTCCAAAACCGCCAAGGAAAAGCCACTGGAACGCTGATAACACGTGGGAGCCCCATGTCCACGTTTGTGATAGATTTGGCATTGGATAGGCGGATCACGATTCTGGCCACCACGACGACCACGACCGCCATCACGATTCTGTGCAGAGAAGTTGGAAAAACCACCTTGAGACTGAGCCGGAAAATTCTGGAATGTATTGGGCTGAGAATTGGACAATTGCAGTTGTTGAAAGGCTAAATTGACATTGGGAATCCCATGTGGAACAGAGGTAGTTTGCGCAAGGTTGATTGTTACAGGTTCTTGAAGGACAGCAGCTTTCGCTTGTTCAAGACGAGCTTCTTGAGCAAGAATTATGGTCTCAAGTTCTGCAGGAGAAAGGATGTCATCTCTACTGAAAAAGGCAGTGACAGTAGAGATCAGCGAGTCATATTCAGGTGGAAGCCCACCAATAATGCACTCAGCATGTTCTTGGGGTGAAACAGGGTTTCCAATCGAAGCAAGAGTTTCAATTATAGTGCTAATGCGAAGCATATATTCAGAGCACGACCTTGTTCCCTTCTTGATCATGCGAAGATCAAGGCGAAGTTGTGTGGCTTTGATTTTGGTGAGGGACTGAAAGTGTTGAAAAACCAGATCCCAAATTTGATAGGAATGGCGGCAGGAGACGTCACGAGCTTGGATTGATTCAAAGAGTGTCGTAAGGAGCCAAGAAAATAGCAGCGAATCTTTGCGATCCCAGGCCGTGTACGCAGGGTTAATATTGTTGGAGTCACGATCCTCAGCAGTAAGAAACTTCAGCGAAATCTTTGGATTAACAACAAACCATTCGAGATCATGAGCACGAATCACAGCAGTGACCTGTTGTTGCCAGGTCATGAAATTCTTTTCATCCAATTTGCACGTAACAGATTGAGAGAATGTGTGCGAAGCGGAATTGTCAAAGGTAGCGGAAGCAGAAGCCATTTGAACAAGAGGAAGAGAGAGCGCAACAAAAACAAGAGAAGCAAACAGAGGCAAAGAATCGCACGACAAAGAGAGCGTGAGCGAAGAACAGAGAAAAAGAATCAGCCACAGGGCACGCACACCAAAAGCGCGGGCAACATCAAAGACTAGGCGCGACAAAAACGCGGGCGAAGGCAAGGTGCGACGAAAGCGCGGGCAATAGCGAAGGCAAGGCGCGACGGAGGTTGTGGGTAGAAAAACGAAAAGAACCAGATCTCACCGTGCTCACGATGATACCATATAAGAGAAAGAATTGAGAGAACTTTTGTGAAAAGATATTATTGATTAAAGAATTAAGACAGTGATACACGAGAGGTATCACTTACATATATACTCCTAACAGACTAACTAACTCGAAGGTTAGCAAGCCTACAAAACTAACCAACTTGAAGAGTTGGAAAATACAAACAGAAAATACATTTGAATAATACAGCAAATAATAAAAGTGTTTATTATCCTATTCTCTTCTCTAATAAGCAACACTTGAAGACAGCTAAAACAACTGTGATCTAGTTAAGAGGTACTCTTGACTTTGGGTTATTGCTCTACCTGCATTTTCAAAAGTTCCCCACACCCTCCGTGCCTATTGTGATGCTAATTAGGCATTTGATTGTGGTGATCGTCACTCCACTTCAAGGGCTTGCATTTTCCTTAGCCCCAATTTGATTTCATGGAGGTCCAAGAAAGAAAACGTGGTGGCTTGTTCCAGTGCAGAAGGAAAGTACAGAAGCTTGGCAATTACAACTATAGAAATCCTCTGGGTACAATCCCTGCTATCTGAACTTCATTCAGTTTTCCATTCCTACCATTAACATAGTATCGTTGTGCCTCATAATCCAGTTCTTGACACTAGAACCAAGCATATGAAGCTCAACATTTTCATTATTCACGAAAAAGGGATTGCTAAATCCTTGGTGATTGTACAAATCTCTGCCCAGGATAGAGTTGCTGATAAATTAACAAAACCCTTGTCATCTATCAGGTTCTGCACTATTCTAGACAAATTCAAAGTGGTTTCAAATTTTCAGTTAAAATCACCTTGAGTTTGAGGGGTGAATGTGTATACATGAATTAGTAGCTTGGCTTTCTGTCATGTAATCTGTTGTGACTAACTTATTGAGAGTTACTTGGGCTGAGATGGTAATTGGTTAGGCTGAATTCTCTCCTAGTATAGTTAGTTTAGCTTCCTGATACATTTAGAAAACCCTTGTCCTTCAATCAGATTTTGCAATCATATTCTGATAGAAAACAAGTTTTGTATTTATCTGTATAAATACAGATAGACTTGAGAAAAAATGCCGAACCCCACAGAAACCTGAACTAACCGATAAAAGAAAAATATTCACAAGTAGATTCTAAGTTTCTAACAATTAAATGGGTTGTGGCGGGTGCATAAATCAGAACCGATGGGTTATGACCAACGGGATCGGTTTTGAAAATTTTTCCTTAAATAACCGAATCTGACCAAATACATTTATAAAAAGCCTAAAAACTTATGACTTAGTCAACCAATAAACTTAACATACTTGAACCAATGGACAGAAATTAACAAATGAGGACAAATTGCAAACTTAGAAAAGTAAAAGTTCTTTTACTTTTACCAATGCCTTTTCATCTTCGAAATCCAACAAAATCCAATGGCTGAAAGGTGCATAACTCTGTGTAAGTGGGACCCTTTAATGAGTTTTGGTTTTACCTCACCGACAAGAACTTCTCATTCACCTTAGTATCAATATCAATGTTGAAAGGTTTGTTTAGCAGCCATTTTCTTTTTGCAAAGCAATGTTGAAGCTCCATTTTTTCTCATTCAATACTACAATTCAAAAGGTAATCAAAAGTACAGTTTTTATGATTCAAGCTCTACCTCCTTCACCCATCTTTAGTTTTTTAAGCTCTGCTCTTTGTCTCGATTACTCCTTCACTGCTGCATTTTGTGTACTTCAACTTTGGCTCTAGGGGAAACATCGATTTTGTATGACGCATGTCCTTGAATCATCCCACAAGGAGCTTTTAGATTTACAAATATAACCCACCCACTAACATTCGAACCCGCTCAATCCGAACCCTAACTAATCTAAGGCTAAACGGATAGTACCGGGTCTAATATTTCTGCATTTCGATTTTCAGTGATTCAACATTTCTTAACCTGAACCCATCCAAACCTTCCCGATCATCACCCTTAAATACAGATAGTTGTAACTCAGTTCAATTAATAAAATCAGTTTTCAATTCTCTCAAGTTCTCTCTATAATTTTTCTCCAGTTTATATTGCAGTCCAGTGCTAATCTGGACACTTTTGCAATTCGTGATCTTCTGTCAGCACCTAGGGTTGGGCGGGTATCCTTCTTTAACAGTGATACATGAAACACCAGATGAATTTTACAATGAGTGAGGAGTTCAAGCCAATATGCTACTGCCCCTACCTTTGCTCCATCAGTATTTTTTGTTATGATAAAAGTAAAAAAATATTTAAGTCAAAGAGAAGACGGCAAAGAATGATGAGTCTTAGAATAGTAGATTTGAGCCTAGCTCAACCCTACAAAACCTGCTTGTAAAGTGAGGGTTGCTCTCCACTTATATACTGTTTAATTGTCTAATCTCTAGTCAATGTGGGACTTGGGTTTTTCCCAATACACCCCCTCCCTTCCAACACTATTGGACTTGGTACGTGGATAAATGGTAGGTGACCCTTTTTAATGATCTAGGATAGGTGACCCCTTTTTAATGATCTAGGATAGCTCTGATACCATCTTAGATAGTGGATTTAAGCCTAACTCAACCCTACAAAACCGGCTTGTACAGTGAGAGTTGCTCTCTACTTACTATTTAATTTCCTAATCTCTAGTCAATGTAGGACTTAGATTTTTTCCAATAAGGAGGATAAGAATCACCCCTAAAAGATAAAAAAACAAAAAATATAGAATGAAACAAACATTGACTAAACAAAGCTACCTAACCCATCAACATAGCAGTAGGGGATAGTCATTAAAAAGACCACGTGCTTTGCACCAAATAGAAGCTATTGGGAAAAACCCAAGTCCCACATCGACTAGAGATTAGGCAATTGAATAGTATATAAGTGGAAAGCAACCCTCGCCTTACAAGCCGGTTTAAGCCGGTTTTGTAGGGTTGAGTTAGGCTTAATCCACTATTCTAACATGGTATCAGAGCCATTTAGATCCACTTTAAAAATGGGTCACCCACCATTGATGCATGCCTCATAGGTATGAGGGGGTGTATTAGGAAGAACCCAAGTCCTGCCTATCCTAGATCATTAAAAAAGGGCCACCCACCATTTATCCACGTACCAAGCCCAATAGTGCTGGACGTGAGGGGGTGTATTGGGAAAAACCCAAGTCCCACATCGACTAGAGATTAGGCAATTGAATAGTATATAAGTGGAAAGCAACCCTCGCCTTACAAGCCGGTTTAAGCCGGTTTTGTAGGGTTGAGTTAGGCTTAATCCACTATTCTAACAAAAGTCAAATATCAACCTTATCCGAAAGAGTGGCTCATTCAAAGAACTCTCGGTAAAGGTGCAAGAATTAAGATCCGGCCAAATGCACCAAAGTCGGTGTAGCATAGGTTGCATAATGCCACATAAAGAAGTCACTTATTTACTTTACCAAAACAAGTACAGTTAGTAAACAAAACTGATTCAATGACCTAGGGCATACTCTAGAATCAATGTCAAAGTGAGCCAACCTAGCTCACATGGGTTGGCCCACCATGGTTGGTACTTTAAACGGGTCAGCCCAACCCGCTCACTTTTTGGTGAACTAGGAAAATACCAACTTGACTCGATTCACCACAGATTGGCAAGTTAAGTTTGCTAGCTCAATAGATTTAAAAAAAGAATTAAAAAAAATTACATGTTCCTACTTTTAATAGAAAAAATAAAGAATTACAACTTTTTCTATCAAGGAATCAAGTTTATCATTGATTCAAATGCAAATACAAAAGAAAGTATCACTAAAAATTTCAAATGCTAACTACATAAAATATATGCATAGAATATTTTTTTTTAATTTAGTGGGTTAAACAGGCCAACTCGGATCACTTAGGCTCGAAACTTTTGGCTCACGGGTTAAGTGATCTGGGTTGGAATTTAGCCAAAATCAGTATACATTTTTTTTCTAACGTTGATTTACCGGTTAGGCTCACTTTGACACTTCTACTATAGATCCAACAAGTATTACCCAAAGAATTCCATAAAAAACCAGCTACAAAACAATGTAAGAACACAGTAAGCACATAAACCACAAATCAAGGAAAATAGATTTCCATGGCCTACAAATCTGTTACATGTCATTGGTATTAGTTATATTAAGAACTTTTGTCCAAACAACGGACTTGACCTTAGATGAAGATTGGGATTTCTAAGAATATAAAAGCAAGATACAAACACCAAATATTTTACTCAAACAGTGGTGCCAGAAGGCACATATAAACCATAACATATTCTGACTTATCCATGTTTAAATTTGTCTGTGATGTAAAAGGAAATATACACACCAGATATTTCACATAAATATATACTTCTTTCTGCCTATTCAGATTTTCATGTTCATCATGGAAGATGTCATGATGGAATGATACTGAATTCATGATAATCAGTGCTTGACATAAAACAAATATGCGATAGCCAATAAGTAATAGCATTTAAAGTTGCAGTGCCTTTTGGTAGCTTTCCTACCTGTTCTGGCTATTGCTATCTTCTCTTGCAGCAATTTCAAGTTCTTCTCTGCTACTTTTGTTTGTACTACTAGTATCACTAGCATAATGCCTTTGCGTTGCACTTTGTGCCAACCGGAACAAACTATCTCTGATGCAGAGTCTTATTTTGATGTCTAACTGTAGAAAAAGTTTGCCTCGGGATTGTAGCCATGTCCGGATTAGTATACAAAAAAATTAATTATACTAAAATACCATATAATATATTATAAAGTATCAAGTCAACCATACCTTTGATATAATATCCTGAAGCCTGTACAGTATGGTGTCTTCAACAAAATCATTACCAACTGCCACTGACATTGTATTAGAATCATCTTGTTCAATTGGTGGATCTAGAACAGGAAGAGTTCTTAGATCTTCATCAGTCCCATCACTAAGATGACTTTGAATGTCCGGGGGACATTTTTGAGTGCTGGATTTACTAGCACTAGGAACTTGATGGGCTAATTGTTGCCGTTGTCTCTGAATAGCAAGCATTGCTTGCATTTGCTGCCGCCTCCTCAACTTTTCAATTTTCTCCTGAGGAGTCATGATTTGGGGCTTGATTGAGTCCACAGAATTCTTTACAGGATTCACTATACCGGGAGACACTTCGTACCCAGAAAGTGCTGGCTGATGGCTAAGATCGCCTGACTGAGTCTGTGATAGCATTGGGATAGCAGGATATGTATTAGAAAGGTTTCCATACACAGAAGAAGCCATATATGGATTTATGATATTCTGATATAGGGTTTCAGCTCCTTGGATCTGCTTTGCTTGCCCAAGAATTGGAGAGGGAGAAGATTGTATGACTGAAGGTGGCAACTGATTCTCAAATTGTTTTGCTTGTGCTGTTGAAGGAGACCAATTACCATAAAAATCCTGCAAGGCATTCTCCTCATGTTTTACCTGTGATTTTTTTCGATTTTTCAAATGATTCTTTTGCCTAAAAACCTGCACATATATGAAATGATCAAATACTTACTTGACTTTGAGAAGGAAATAGGTGAAATAAATCTCCTGCTAGAGCTGTAGCACAAAATCATGCCAAGAAAGTTCAACCATTCAAAAAATACATGCACATTTAATCAGGATGAAACATATACAGAAAAGGACACAATATAAGCACAATTCAAAAGACACAGAAATAAAGTTCAAACCAAGAAAGAACATTAGAACACAATTACAAGAGGGGGAGTCTAGGAGACCAAAGTAGTGAAATAACGTGTCGCAACATATCCTTAACATATTTGTTCTTTCTCTTTTCTTTTTTAATTCAATTAGCGTAGATACTGCAGAGATACATATTCATAACATATCTGGATGTATCAATGTCAAATCCCATATTGATATGGGAACAAAAATCGCATATCTATGCTTCGAAGTCTAGAATGTACTTTTTCTTGTGACAACAATTCCTTTCTTTGGTCTTGATACCTCTATCTCAAAAAAAAATAATTTAAGGATCTGAGATCAATCTCAAACTCAACCACAAGAGAAGCTTTCAAATTAATTATTTCATCGAAATCATCTCTAGTAATCACAATGTCATCCACATAAACAATTAAAACAACCCTAATACATCCATCTCCCCTGTATCTTCAATCAAAGGGTTATTTATATCAAAAAGGGAAATTACAGCTAACCAACTTATTAACAGAAACTAATTATTCTAACAATACCCTGACTTGCATTTCCTCCTCTGGTAAACCTGCTGGGTTCTTTAAGTCCATGTGGTTGTCTTATCCTCTTGTCTAGCAATACCCTCCTCCTCAGTAACAACCTTGTCCTCAAGGCTAAACTCAGGAAATTGGTCTCTGATGGTTGAGGCATCTTCCCAGGTTGCTTCTTCCAAAGGTTTGTTCTGCCATTGCACCAATATCTGCTACGTTTGGGCTCCATACTTCATAATAATTTGACGGTCTAGATCACTCTCGGGCTGATAACAAGTTGAACTTCCTTGAAGATCTGCAGGTATCTCTGCTTCAACTGCATGATCTCCCACTACCTTCTTGAGTTGGGATACATAGAAAACAAGGTGAATATAGACATTCTCTATAAACTACATTTGGAAGGCCACAACTCCAATCTATTCAATAACAAAATACAGTCCATAGTACCTAGCTAATAACTTGGGTTGGAGCTTACTAGGCATTGAAACCTGTCTACGAGGTCTGATCTTCAAATAAACACAATTCCCCAGTTGAACCTTTGCTAGTCTTCTATGTGCATTAGCATAATGAGTCATCTGGTTTTGAGCTCTTTCCAAATGAAACTTTAGTTGCTTTATCGCTTCATCCCTGTCTCTCAGGTCTTGGGCCACAGCTTCTACTAAGGTCTCTCCTGGTATGAACTAGGTCACAACTGGTGGAGGTCTTCCATACACCACTTAAAGGGTGTACAACAAGCCGCGCCTTAGAAGCTAGTATTGTACCAATACTTAGCCCAAGGAATGTATTCTAACCCAGAATTTGGTTGTTCTGAGTTGAAACACCTCAAATATGTCTCTAAGACTCTGTTTAACACCACACCTCTTTTTTCCCATCCGATTCAAGATGATAGGCTGTACTCATTTTCAATTAAGTCCCCTACATCCTGAATAATTCCGGCCAGAAATGGCTGATGAAGGTAGGGTCCCTATCACTAACAATTGATATTGGTATCCCATGGAGTCTCACAATTTCACAAACAAACACTTCAACAATGGATCAAGCAGAATATGGATGCTTAATTAATATAAAATGCCCATATTTACTCAGCCTGTCAACAATAACCAACACTACATCATAACCTTTTGATTGAGGTAACCCCACAATAAAGTCCAAGCTGACATCTTCCTAAATGGCATTTGGAATAGGTAATGGTTAGAGCAACCCTACAGGAGAAGAGGCTTGGTATTTGCTACGCTAACAAGTGTGACAAGCATCTACAAATGCAGTCACTATACCTTTCATTCCAGACTAGAAAAGTGACTGCACCATACTGTGATATGATCTATAAATGCCCAAGTGTCCACTTGTAGGAGAGGAGTGAAATTCTTGTAGAAGTTTTGGAATCTAGGTTGAAGAGGCTGCCAACACCAGCCTTCCTTTATAATGCAGTTTGTCGTTTTCCAAAGTGTAGTGAAGGTGAGAATTACAATCCCGCTTCAACTCTTCTCTTATTTTGGCTAGTACAAGGTTAGCCCTTACTTCATCTATAATGGAGATATCCAAATTGGTCTAGAAATCACTTGTATTTCCTTGTCCTCTTCGATTCTTGAGAGTACATCAGCCACCCTATTTGATGCTCTTACTTTATACAAAATATCAAACTCATAATCCAACAATTTGGCCATCTCCCAACCTTACTTGATACGGTTTGGCTTCGACATCTAATCCCAACCTCTACATCAATCTTGTTGAAATGAAATTGTGGTTGGCCTCGTTGTCAATCAAAATTATAACCCTCTGCCCTTGAACCATTCCTTGGAGCTTTATGGTTTGTGGCAGGATTAATCTTCTAGCTGAACATATGGATAGATCCATCCATTGATAGGCTACCTTTGGTCTCCCTTCTTCTCGTCCTTCGTCATTGACATCCTCCTCCTACTCAATATGTGCAATATCTCATACCTAATCAATTTGTTCATCCTCTGTCAAGATTAACACACTCAAATTCTTTTATGGGCAGCGATTTCCTGAACCAAAAGCCAAATTACATTGAAAACACTTTCCCTCCTCTCTTCTCTTCATGTACTCAGGATAGGGATGACTCCTACTTCCCCTTGCTTCTTGAACTAGAGTAATTGTTTTCCCCTGATTTTCATCCCTCACTCTAACCATACCACCCATATTCTTTTGAATCTTGCATGATACTGGAACTCCCAGTTGTGTTAATGTGCGAAAAAAATTCTTCCTCTCCCTTGATACCGAGAACCAGAATTGACATTACAGCTCAAAGATCCCCCAAGAACTCACGCATCTTCCATAGCATCCTCTGCATCGTGTGCAATCTCCATAGCTCTTAACAAATCTTGTGGATCATGTAGGAAAACCTCATTGTGAATATTCTGCCACAACCTTGCAAAGAAATAACCCATCAATTGATCTTTTGGAGTCGGAGTAGCTTGAGCCACCAAGAGTTTGAATTCTCAAATAAAATCTTCTACACTACCCATTTGTCTTATTGTTGCCGGCCTCTCATAAATCTTACCTTACCACTACTTCCAAATCTTCTTAACAACACTGCTACAAATTCATCCCAAGAAGGGTTCTTGGACTTTTGATGCCAAAACTGAACCAATGAACTACATTTCCTTCCATACTAATGAAGGTTGTTAGTGTATATGGGTTACAACAAAAAGGGAATATTTGTTTGTTAGTCCTTTTTGCTTTTTGCATTCTGTGATATCTTTAGGATATCTTCAGAATCTTTTAGCGGACAGCTGTCCTGCCACCTCTCTTGTTTTTCTCTTTCCGCTGGTTGCTTTTACAATCATTTTCTCTCTTTTCTCTAGCTGCTGTATTTTAGAAAAGGTTCTCTATATATTCAGCTCTCCTTGTAATTTTTCTACAGCAACAATGATAATAAAGTTTCACTATTACATTTTACCTCTCTTGATTTTATCTAACAAAGGCTAGGCATAATTTCTCAAAAGATTTGACACTTTGCACTTCAAAGAATTTTTCAGCCTTTGTTATCCACCCTAGTGGATCACTCCCCTCAAAAATGGGTAATTCCACCTTTTTCATCCAAGAACATTACAACACACCACCTTCCCCTTTTAAAGATTCTCCTTCACCCTTCTCCTCCATGAAGATATTCACCTTGTTGACTAGACTATCATCCCCCTCCTCAAAATTAGGTTTTTTCTTCTTGTTCGACATACACTCCGGAATCAACTCCCTAATTTGTTTCATATCTTGCATATTGTCTTTAATGTAGACAATGTCACGTTTCAACTCCCCCAATCTCAGCCCTTGCTCGCTGGTCAACTTCTCTAAAGCTCCTACTCGATACTCCACGTTTTTGAAAGATTCGATAGGTCGGACCAATTTGTTAAGATCCTCTCTTTAGAAATTAGAAAACAACTCCCAACAACATAATCAAATAATAGTAACTATAGAAAAAGACAAGTAGAGAATGAAAAAGATCTTTGTATTATTCAAGAATAGGGAAAGCACAGTACAAAAGTGTACCCAAAGGAGGACTCTCCTTTCACACTAGATTCATCAGCAGAACTATAATACATTCCTCTCCCCCTTTCTTCAATTAAAGGGTTATTTATATCAAAAAAGAAAATAACAGCTAACAAACTTATTAACTGAAACTAACTATTCTAATTGAATAGCTCAGAACCCCTTATGTACTGTGCTTTCCCTAAACCCTAAACAATCCTAATCACCCTGATTACAAAATAAATATAAAAATAAGATAGGAAAAAATAAAGGAGAATCAAATCAGATTTTAATAATCTGATCTTGATCTTATCTAACTAATCTCCTGTAGTAAAGGAAAATAAAATAAAATAAAATTTAATATGATTTTGATCTTAACTGCCCAAATTTAAATTTAAATAAAAGTACATTTAGCTTTCAACAAGTCTATGGGACAAAAGTGAAACAATTTGTTTATTTAGCCCCTGTACCAATAGAGATAAATAATAGAGACTAGATCAGTGTGAAAATTGCCATACCTGCTGTTCCTTTCCAGTACGCTTCCTTCTAACTCCATCACTTCCCAAATTAGTTGTGATTGTGCATGAATTTTGTATAACTTGAGATGCAGGACTCCCAAAGCTGAGGTCCAAGGATTCATCATCACACTGAACATATTCTTCTTTGATTTCCGAAGGCTCAGTTCCGTTCCTTAAAGCACCTGATGAACTTGGTGTGTCCAGTAGTAAAGGTGCTGGATTGTTACTCAAATCTTTAGAGGACCAAAGCTCATTAGAATTATCAAGATTAACATGGCCAAATATAGGGTCATCATTGCTGCAAAATCATCACTTGTGAGAATATTCAGTCAGATAGATGCCACTGTAAAATACAATGCTAATAACTATAAAGATACACATATGTTTACACACATTCACTGCTAATCAACTATCAAGACTTCGGAACTTCTTTCCTATGTCATCCATCACATGCACTGTATATTGAAAATCAAAGAGTAAACCACTATTTTGGTTCCTGAAAAGTATAAATGTTGTCACATGAGTCTCTAAAACTAAGAAAATTCAACAAGTCTAGGAAATTTCAGTTGTTTTAACGAATTCTCTAAACTTAACCACTTACGTGAATCTGGTCCCTAAACATTAATACTATCACTTAAGTCACATTTTTTTAAACTAAAAAGGAATGTGATTTACAGGTTGCACTTTTAGGGACATATTTGGAATTTCTTTAGTTGCTGGGACTAACATGGCTCAGCTATATACTTTCAGGGACTAAAATAGTGGTTTACTCAACCCAAGGGATGTAAAACTACCTACTGCAATCATTCTACGTTCAAAATTTCACAAAATGAAGTCTTCCTTCCTAATTTAAACTATAAACTAAAAAATTGTTCATAAATTGCATATTGTAATCATTCCCTTTTCACTTTTAGTGATGTTACTTTATCACTGAACTACAAACTTGCACAGCTGCACATGCTTTTGCATTCGAGTTTAAACTAGATTGAGCAAAGTGTGAGCATGGTGAAAACAACATTAATAAATAGGATAATAGGAGAGAGATGGTCCATTTAAGACGTCGGTAGTTCAGTAAAAAGAATTACATGATATTAAATACAGTGGTAATCATGATGCTATCACACACACATGCATTATATAAAGTGATAGAGATGATCTACGTTACCTAAATATTCGATCAAGGTCATCAAAACTTCCTATATTGGCCCATCCATAATCAACAAAATCACCTTGCTCTTTACCTTCATGACCATTTTGGAAAATTTCAGCATCCTTTTCATATTGTGTAGTTTCTTCTGTCAAACATTAATACAATTAGGAATGGAAAAATATAACTAGACATCATGCATTTTATTATTTTTCATATAACGATGGAAAGACAAGAAGAAAAGGCATCAACAGATAGGCTTGCACATACACAAAATCAATAGACAGACATGTTATCTAGTGATTCTAGTCATAATTCCAGCAAATTAGAATTTTACCACCTCTTGATGAACTGAATTTGCCAAGTTCAGTTAAATTTTTAGATACTTCAGTACCCAAGGAACCCTGATCAATTTTAGCTGAAGTGGATAAAGACAAGTCAGGCCATGAGTTTGTTCCATATCCTGAGGCAGGTAGTTCCCCACTATTATCAAGGTTGGAACAGCTTCCTAACTTTCTTTCATCAAAATCATTTTTAGCCTCTGGTCTCTTCAGCTCACTGAGCTTATTTGCAGAAGCTTCCTGGTTCCATTCTCTCTTGTTGCTAACATCTTCATTTACTTCTGGATAAGGCACAATATGATCATCACTCTCACCTCCTTCACCCCATATTATGTTAGCTAGCTGAAAACAATCCATTATTAAACATTATTATTATAATTATTGATTATTGATGAGATGAGATTGAAATCAACAATTATAGAAGTATACTCTAGATGTTGACAGTAGTAACATTAATAGACACCGGGAAGACTAGAAATGTATATAGCAAAAGGAAAAAACATAAACAAAATTTACAGCAACTTTATTACCAACTATCACACAGCATTAGAAACTAATGAAGGATATGTCCATTTAATTGTTTATTTCAGGTAATTACCCAACTGATTTGGCATCATAACAAAAAATTGTAAACTGATTACAACTGATGGATATTTGAGTGATTGTGGATCACTGCATTACTCTACAGTTATAATATTATATTAGTGCAGCAGTTACTCTATCTTGAAAGTCAGTCAAGGCGTACAGCTGACAGTTAAACTGAATCACTCCCTAGCTATACAGGGCTGGATGAACAAATAATAATTACAGGCAAGGAAGGTTTTTTACTCCTTATTACGAATCATCAAATCGCAGTCACAATAGCCACATATTGGTGTGAAAGTGTGAATTGGGGTGCTAAAGTGGGTGCAATGAGCAAACATGAAAATGCAACAACAACTTCTGTGACACAACATTGTAAAATATAGGTATTTTTAAATAGAGTAATCATGTATAGCTTATCTATAGGGCTGAATTCTAGGGGTTTTATCTTTCTATTATTTCCTTAGTTACCCTAATTGTTGTATTCCTCTTGACTATAAATATACCAGTTTGTGTGGTATCAGCAGTAATGTGAGGAAGCACACACAATTCTTGCAATTCTTATATAGTAATAGTAGTCCAGGATTCTTTTTTATATGGCTAAACGACTAATTTGGTGCACTTTTACAAACAAATTACCAAAATAGGGTTGTTTTGAAACATATTACATCTTTGGGGCTGTTTTCTTGGGTGTCGCTATGGCCCATAGCGACACCCATGACACCTGGCCTTTTTTTTTTTTTGGTCTTGGTTGGGCTGGGATGAGTCAGACGAGTGTCGCTATGGGCTGAACCACCACAGTTGATGGACTAAGAAAAATAATGTAGCCCATAGCGACACTCTGTAAAGAAAAAAAAAAAAAACGAAAAATTAGCGCAGCTATGGGCCATAGCGCCCCATTTTTTTTTTCTTTTTTAAAATATTTTCACATTATATTACGAAATTTTTAAAAATTATATTTTTTGTTATTTCAATTCTTTTTTTCGCTTTTATCCGAAATTTTTTTATCAATTATTTATCAAATTTTATATTTATAAAATTATAGATATAATTTTTAAACTGGCGCTATGGCTCAGTTCCGCTATGGGCCATAGCACCCCATTTTTTTTTTCCTTTTTAAAATATTTTCACATTATATTTTACGAAATTTTTAAAAATTATATTTTTTCTTATTTCAATTCTTTTTTTTGCTTTTATCCGAAATTTTTTTATAAATTATTTATGAAATTTTATATTTATAAAATAATATATATTATTTTCAAAGCGGCGCTATGGGCCATAGCGCCTCAGTTCCGCTATGGGCCATAGCGCCTCACTGTTATTTTTTTCAGTTATTATTTTATAGTTTAATTATTATTTTTTAACAAAATTTATTTATTTTTCTTATATTACGTTATTTTTATTCGTTTTTTCTTCACATAATATTTTATATTTTTAAATTTATATTAATATATTTTTTATATTATTTATATAAATGTGTTGTTATAGGCTATAGCGACTTCAGTTTTAGCCGTATTGAGTCGCTATAGTCTATAGCGACTTTGTTTGGGACTCCACCAGCTACTGCGACTCTACTAATATGGCGTTCATGGCTTATAATCAGACCCAAAATTGCCACGTGTCACTGGTGTCGCTATTGGCCATAGCGACACCGTAGAAAACAGCCCCAAAGGTGTAATATGTTTCAAAACAACCCCATTTTGGTAAATAGTTTGTAAAACTGTTCTAAAATGGTCGTTTAGCCTTTTTATATGGTTCCGTTTCTGCATCAGTGGTCGTACTATTAATAGTAATTGGGAACAATCACAAAACCTCTATTTGGCGCTCCACCATGCATCCATTCGATGGTGTGCCTCCACGTCCGGCAAGGGGACTCTCTGGCAACTTGTTTTGTCCAAGAACTGTCGCCCCATGCGCCACCACTCTCCAATGTGTATTGTTCATGCTCCTAATGTAAAATTGCAATTTTTGCAAGGATGTCTAGATACTAGAGCCACTTTCTCTTACCTCCTTGCATTCAGGCTCCTGTACCCACTATTTTTTTGTTACCTAATTCATGGCCTCCGACGGTTCCTCCTTCGATGCCATTGTAGCGGTGACATTCACCAACATCCCGTTGATCCCATGCGAAAAACTAATCGAGTCAATGAACTATACCCTAGTTACCTCTTTTGCTCCATCAATAGATGTTACTATTGTTATTACCTTGCTTGTAGCTTTTGTTTCTCAGTCCTCCTCCCTTGGACCTTAGATACTTCACTTTTGTGCTTCTAATCATATGTCTAGTAACCAATTTCTTATCTCTCAATTGTCAAAATCAGACACTTTTCATTCTGTTATTCGTAGATGACTCTCAAATTAAAGTTCGTGGCATTGGTCAAACCCCACCCACTTCCTAACCTTTCTTTAACTTATGTTTTGTTTGTTTTTGGTTGTCCTTACAATTTAATTTCAATTAGAAAATTCACCCACTCCCTTAATTTCTCTGTCCTATTTGTTGATAATTTTGTACATGTTCAGGATCAACATATCGGGCGAAAAGATTGCAGTAGGACATGAGTCTGGAGGATTATATCAACTTATGTTCTTGGTTGCTTGTGTCTCTATTGCTTCTACAGAACTTGCTCATCAACGCCTTGGTCATCCAAGCCTAGAAAAATTGCGTCTTTAAGCTCCTAGTCTTTCTATACTTAACTCTTTACGATGTGAGTCATGTTAGTTAGAAAAACATATTCACCACTCTTAAATTTCTTAAGTCATTAAAATGTGTTACATTACATTTTGCTTTAGTTCAGTTTAATATTTGGGGGCCTAGTTAAGTTTGTTCAAATTTAGGACACGACTATTTTTTTACATTTATTGATGACTTTTCTTGTTGTACTTGGGTTTTCTTGATGAAAAATTATTCTAATGTCTTTTCTATCTTTCAAAGTTTTTCAAGTGAAATTCAAAATCAATTTAGGACACCTATCAAAACTTTTCATACTGATAACATAAAAGAATATTTTTCCTCCCAATTTCAATCTTTCTTGGCATCACAAAGAATTATTCGTCAAACTTTCGTGTGCTCACACCTCAACAAGATGGTGTTGTTGAACAAAAAAATCATCACCTAGTTGGAACAACTTATACCCTCCAACTTCATTGTAAAGCTCATATGCACTTTTGGGGTGATGCAATTCTTACCGCCTATTATTTGATCAACTACATGCCCTCATTTGTCCTCAATAATCTAATTTTGTATTCCATTATTACCCATAACAAGACCGATATCCTATTCCTCTTTGTTCTTTGCAATACCTGCTTTGTCCATGATCTCATTCCAAGTAAAGATAAACCCTTCCAAACCTTTAAAAATGATATATCGTTCAATGATATTTTGTTTCCGCTAATGTCACTTTCTATAAGTCTACTTTGTTCTTCTCTAAGATTATTGCCCATAATGCTTCTCTAGATGTTTCACCTATCATCCCAACTCCTACAATTGTTGTTGTTCTACCACCACTAATAACCTATTGGTGATGACCATGACTTCCCTTAATAGCTCCACCCATTGATCCCCCAACATCATCTCCTACTCCAAATGCCCCTCCATCATTGCTACCTCCACCTAAACTTCCCATTGCCCTATATTTGATCCTCTCATAACCCTAACCCATTATATTCTTGTACTCTTCATTATGATCGTTTATCCCCTTCCTATTTCTCTTTTATATCCTCCTTTTTTCATTTTGTGCCTATTCTTAAGTCTAAAGGTGAAACCATGGCTCAAAGAAATGATTGTTTTACAACCTAGTGATACTTGGGAAGTTGTCCCTTTGCCTCCAAATAAGACTGCAGTTGCTTGTTGCTAGGTGTATATAGTGAAGGTTGGCTAGGATAGACAAATTGACCCATTCAAAGCTCACTTAGTGGCTAAGGGCTACAAACAGATTTTTGGTCTTGATTATGGAGACAACTTTTCCCTTATGGTCAAAATTACTTCAGTTCGTTGCTTTCTTGCTATGGTTGCTATTTGTCATTGGCTCCTTAACCAACTAGACATCAAAAAATGCCTTCTTACATAGTGAGTTGCAAGAAGTGTATATGACTCAACCCCCAAGATTTATCTCTTGGGGTAACCCCCATCTTGTATGTCATTTTCATCACTTTTGTATGGTCTGAAGCAATCTCCTTGTACCTAGTTTGGTAGTTTTAGTTCTACCTTACTTCAATTTGGTCGGCTAAAATCTCATCTACACAATCAATTTCAAACAAAAGACTTGGGACCACTCAAATATTTCTTGGGTATTGAGGTTGCTTAGTCCTCTTCTGGGATTGCCATTTCCTAGATGAAGTATGCTTTAGATATACTTATGGAGATTGACATACTCAATTAGCGCCCAGTGACACTCCTATGGATCCTAATGTGAAACATCTTCTAGGTCATGTGGAGCCATTGGAAGAATCATTAAGATACCAATGACTTGCTAAGACTTAATTATCTCACTATCACCAGGCCATTAGGATGTTGTCATGTGCATTTTTCATTACATCAAGAATGCACTAGGTTGTAGCATACTATATGAATTATGAAGACAAAGCAATGCCAAAATTGTTTGTTACTTTAATGTTGATTAGGCAAGATCACCATTAGGCAGGAGGTCCACTTCTTGTTATTGAGTTCTAATTGGAGGAAATTTGGTCTCATGGAGAAAAAAAATATAGTTTCTCAATATAGTGCCAAAGTTGAGTATTGTTCTATGCCAACAACTGCCTCCAAAATTACATGACTTAAGCAACTTCTTCAACAATTACAATTTGGAGATACTCGAGATGCTAAACTAATCTATGATAACTAAGTTGCTCTACACATTGCATCTAGTCTAGTCTTCAATGAGCGATCGAAACATGCAGAGATAGACTATCATTTTGTGAGAGAAAAGGTATTCTTAGGAGAAATCGCCATTGACTTTGTTAATTCCACCAATTAGCTAGCAAACATTTTCACAAAATCTCTCAAGGATTCTCAAGTGGACTACATATATAACAAGTTTGGCTCATGTGACATACATGCTCCAACTTGAGGGGAGGTGTAAAAGACATATTTATCTTTAAGGCTATATTTTAGGAATTTTATATTTTTGTTATTTCCTTAGTTTCCCTAAGTATTGTATTCCTCTTGAATATAAATAAATTAGTTTGTGTTAGGAAGGACACACGATTCCTTCAATTCTTATAACCACTATAACAGTTCTTATATGCACTGTTAATAACTATGAACTACCACGAAAAAATCGCTTGAGAAAAATCCCACACAATCTATTCGCACGTACCTAAAGACGAAGATGTGAGCACTCCTCTTCAGCCAAATGAAAATAACTTTTTAAACCTATAATATAGCATTGTTTAAGTTAGTTAGATATTCCTATAGTCCTTAACAACTTAAAACAATCACTTCTGAAGCTATGCTGTCCTTCATTCAATTCAATTAATTCTCATAATATATCATCAAAAAACACTACCACAAATTTCCTAAAAAAATGGCAAAAAATATCATTCGTTAGAGCTTAAAAAGTGGATGTAGCATTGGTTAACCCAAAAGGCATTGCCAAGTACTCGTTATGTCGCTCATTAGTTCTAGAAGATGTCTTATGTACATCACTTTCTTTAAAATTACAACCCACATGATTCATCTAATAGTTCCTCTATGACTAGAATAGGAAACTTATTGGGTGTGTGATACTATTTAAAGTCATGTAATCAGTACAAATCAAGTGCCATCTTTTTTTAACCAAAATCAAGGGACTTGAATATGGGCTTGCACTAGATTTAATGAGGCCCACAACAAGCATATCTTTTACAGAAGCTTCGACATTCTCATGTTGATGATGGAGATATCATACGACCCGACATTCACAATTTGAGACCCTTACTTGATCACTAATTCACTATGGCATGGTCATATTTCCTAGGAGGAGGTAGCTCTTTTGCTTCTTTGAATAATTCAGCATATTCCTCCAATGCTCCCTTTATGCCTTCTGCCTCCCTTTGTACCTCATGACAATAAATAGTTATCATCCCCAAATCCACATAGTAAACCTCATTACCTTTCCTCAACTCCTTCATCATTGCCTTTAAAGAAGCTATTGTTCGAGACAGAGATGGGTCCTCCCTAACTTCAACCTTCTCACCATTTATCCCTTGCCTTGTTCCTTCAGCCCTTTTTCTCCCTTTCCTTCTATATACTTGCATAATGGGACTATCACTTTCTTTGGATTAGGCTCTATTAAAATCATATCTCTAGTTGATAAGAAACTAACCAACGCCCTTGAGGCTACAATTAAGGAAGCTCCCAAAGAGACCACAACTAAGGTGGACTAGGGTGACTACAATTAAGCCAGCTTTCCAACAGAAGTGACTAACTATATAGCATATGATATTGGACATCTACTTTACCATTCCACATTGTGGTTAAGGCCCAAAAGAATTACCATAAATCTTCACTAATACTTAGATTGGGACATCAGTTTCAAAACACTGCTTGCTGGATCAAGTCCATAGTCCATTTCTCATCTCTGCAAGCACTTCCAGCCCATCAAAGAAATTTCTGCCACACCATTTAAACTATTCTCATCTATGTTTTACACTGGGAAATTCTGAACTCAAATACATTATTATGAATAAAGCCAACCGAAAAACAAAATCAGCATTAAGAGTAAAACAGAATAACACGATTTTCCCCTACTGAAAAAACCTTTCAAAGATATTCCTAACTGAGAGTAACCTTCTCATGTTTCCCCCCTTAAATGTCTGTACTTTGACATTATCCAACAGCACAAGTGAAAAGAATTCTATGACCATCTAAACTAATTAAGTACTGAGCAATCTCTCTCTCTATCTACTTATCTCTAGCTGAGAGTTAGGTCCCCAACACATAGCAAACACTTGTTACAGTCACCAATTTTCGCACGACATTTACGTTTTGCAATTTTAAGTTCCCCGAAAGCACTTAACCAAAAGGAAAACCAAAAAGAAAAAAGAAAAAAGAAATTTTACAGCTACATAAACAACATCTTCAACAAAAATGTCAAAACCAAAAAGAAAAAAAATCCTCACCTCATTCCATGTTTAAACCACCACACACAGACACACAACATAACATCAAATTCATCGCAGCAACAAGAATCTAAGCACATTTAATAATACCGACAAAATTAGAGAATCCCAAACTATGACCAAAGTTTAAACTAAAAAATAAAAAGTTCAAAAAAAAATTACACACCTCTTCGTCGTTCCAATCAAACATTTCATATAATTCGAGCAAACAAATCGACAAAACCGAAACCAGTATCAAACACCAGGCACCGAATTAGCTCACTCATCGCCGGACTCCCCTTGAGATCACAGAGAAACGCACTCCATCGAATCGAGGCGAGAACGAAACAGCGTCGTTTCACAGTTCAACGGTAAAGAGAAGATAAGATGAAGAAGCTTTCTGTCGCAACGTTCACAGAAAAAACGGTGAAGGAGTTTCGAGAGAGGGTGAGAAAGAAGAAAGAGAAGAGAGATAGTGTATGGGGTCGGGTGCACGTGACGTCACGTGTGTAGGCGAATGGCTTAAAATCAGAGGGTGGGCCCGACACGGGCGACACGTGTGAATGAGAACGTATCCAAAGTAGTGGCCAGGAATCGCCCTATCAAATACTCGAACTTCATTGGCTACATTTTCTCTCTTTTGATTTTGCGTTTCGCCCTTCGGGGGCTGTCGTTTTGGGGTTTGGTCGTCGGGTTCCTCGTGAGCTGTGTGGGCCCCACCAAGGCTTGTTTGGTGGCTTAGGTCGTTTAATGGGTCGCTTTCGAATGTGCCTGGCCTCGTGTCTGTATTTATCCATCAAGAAAAATCAACTCCATTCAAATTTCTAACTATGGTCAAACAAATAAAAACTTGAAAATTCAAAACATATAAGTTTCTCGTTTCGCAATGTTTGGTTACGTTGTGTTTGTGTTGTGTAACACCTAAATTTAGGGGAAATTGTTCCCTTGATTGGGTTTCGTGCATTGATTTACAAGTATTAGAGTAACCAATTCCATGTGTTCGGGTGTAAACAAATTAAATTGAGATGGATTTAAACTATTTTTTATTCAACTAAATTAGATTTGTTGAATTGACTTAGATTGGGTGAAAGAATTTTTTTTAAACAATTTAATTTGATTATAATCATTTTGAGTTAAGTTAATATCGAGGTTGAATCGCTCGCGACGAAGCTCAAAGTCGATCAGGTATTTACGCTCATCGATTGTCGCAATGTTCTGAGAAGGGAGATGCCTCTTCACCTCGCAGTGCGTCTTAGAGTTTAGGGTTTTTTGCTGAGATTCTCATGTGCGCCGGCATAGATTGGAGCTTCCAGAACGACAATGGGTGGAGCACGCTCCAAGAAGTCGTGTGCACGAGAGAGAAAGCCATCGTCGTCATCATCATGCACTACTACCAACCTCTCGCTTGGACCAAGTTGTGCTGAAGGCTCCCCCGCATCGTCGCTTCCGCCGCATGAATCTACGACTTCTACATGGAGATATCCTTCCATTTTGAAAGTTCCGTCATTTCCTTCCAACTTTCTTCGTCATAAAGGCGTTGTTGCAGTGGTCCATGGCGACGTCGTTCGCCGCGTTGACGTCTTTGGAGGGGAGCGGGGAGAGTAAGAGGTGGCGGTGTCACTGATGAGAATCACGATCATGACTTGGAATCACGAGCGTGATTCTCACGGACCTTTAACACGTCTATGAAATTTTGACAGAAGTCTCACATTGAAATATTTTAAATAAATTGAGACTAAATTGAAACTAAAAATTAAAATAAGACTAAATTAAATTTTTTTAATATTATAAAGGACCAAATTAGGATTTTAGCCAATAAAAAAGAGTAATATATTTAAATTGATTTAATTGAAATTTTAACATATAATTCAAATTACAAATAATATTATAACAATCACAAATAATAAATCATAAATATTTTAAACAAATAAATATTGTGTCATTATTGTGTCATTAGCATAATAAATTTTGAATTACATGATAAGTGAAATTAAATTATTTTTTATGTTTCATGTCCTCTTCAATTGTAGTATTTTCTCTTGTATACATTGACTTTAAAGCAAATTTCAAAATAAATTCGTTTAAAGTTGTGTTGTATCGTGTAATATTTTTAATTTAATTTGATAATTTATTATAATTTGGATTGACTTGAGCTTATTGGATAATAAACTTTTTAACCTATTATACAATCTAATTATAATCATTTAACAAAAAATATTATGGATCTAACTTTATAAGTGAGTTGTATCCACTTACATCCTATTTCAACTTTTAAGTTTCACACATTAATTGGGATTGTTTTGCTTTATTAAAAAAATAAGAATTTTTATGGTGGACTTAATAGTGGAGATTTCCATTTACATAATTTTGTAGTTTTACAATTTTTAGATATCAGGAAAAAAAATCTCTGATTATTTTTTAAAGATATTATATTTTTTTTCATCCGCAATAATGTTTTCAAAAATAAATTGTTTGAAGGGGGAAACCATACTGTAAGTTCGAATTTGCATGTTTTTGTATGTACTTACAGAAAAGGACATAAAGGAAGGGCATCAGTTAATTGTACGAAATGCACACTTGTTGAAAGTTTCTCAAAGACTCAATAAAAAGTTTTTTTTTTTTCTTCTTTTCATTCATATGAAAATTTATAACCATAATAATAAAAATGAATTTTAATGTATTTATCTCGACTCTTCTATCACTTGAAGAACCTTAATAGTGTGTTTGGATGAGAAATTTATATAGGGTAATTCATTTATTTGAAGAATTTCAAATTCTTTGAGGTGAAATGCTTTGTTTGGATGAGGAATTTACAAAGAATTTGAAATCCAAGCATTTGTGAAATTCCTTAAAATAGTAGAATTTCAAATTCTCCCAAAAATGGGAGAATTTGAAATTCCTCATATTTGTTTTTCTTATTTCATCTATATATTTTATCTTATCTCTTCATTCTTTTAATTATTGGATATTCAAAAATATTTTTAAAATTATTAAATATTATTTTATATTAATTTTTAAAATTATTAAATATTATCTAATATTAATTTTTAAAATTATTAAATATTTAAAAAAGGATTAATATTTATTTTTATAAAATTTAATTTAAAAATCTCAACATATAAATATATTTTTAAAATCAATTTTACTATGATAGAATCAAATTATCATATTCAATCTAACAATTTAAAATTTAAGAAATTTGAATTGACTCATCCAAACAAAATATTTAAAGAATGATAAAAATTGAAATCAAAGTAATTCAAATACCAAGAATTTAAAATTTCTTGAATTTTTAAAATTCCTCATCCAAACACACTATAATAGTTCAAAGAAAGCATTTGAAAGATTAATTTTCATTTATATTATCAGGATGGATTATATTTATTAGGAGGATTCGAGGGAAATAAACAAGGAAGCACGACTATGTTTTGTTCGTTTTCTGACATTGTTTATTTGTTTTGATTGTTAATCATAAATTATTTTTTATAAGGATATCGAAACATTATTAACTTTTGTACTGACTATTTTAAAATATATATATCTACAATAATTTAATTAATTAATAATATACAATTTTAGATGGTATGAAATTATCAAGATAAAATTAAAGTTAATTATTTATAACAAATTAATAGATGTAAAACTTTCACTGCATTGATTTTTTTTTTATTAAAAAAACCTAATTTATAATTACCATATTATTGATAACTTCCTATTAAAAAATCCCAAATTAATATGAACAATTTCTAAATGTGCAATCAATTTTATTTTATTTTTTTATCGTGTATGAATCAAAATGGGTACTAAAATTTTACAATAACTTACAAACACCATTCAATAACTAAGTTAGAATTAATTGTTTAATTTAGCCTTTGAATAAATATACGAAGTGGGTTTCCGCGTTCAATTTCAAATTGAAAATTCTTCCCCTACAAATTAAGATAAAATATTTTGAAAATTAAATACAAGTAATAGAAAAGAATTAAATTCCCTTGAGTCGTAAAAGGAATTGATTGATATCTTATTGTTCACTTACAAAATAAAAAAAATAGATTTTTTTTCTTAAGTATAAACAGGATCCCAAGTGGGAATCATATGTTCTACATATTACAGATTCATTGTCATTCTTTAATATCTAGTAACTTCTGCAAGTTGTGGGTACACAATTAACAAAAACAAATAAATAATGACAAAAGTATAAGGTAGATATGTCTTTTTAACGAGCCAACTTGCATGTAAACGGAATGCTGACAATATTTTCACAAACAATATGCGTGGTGGTAAGTTCTTCATATGTCTTGTCGACTTATCGGGTTGTACAGAAGAGTCAAAACCTTCTTTAAAGGAAATTACGAGTCGCGTGTGTTTGTAATGTCAAAATGGATAGATGTTTTCCAAAAACTCAAAATGGTATTATTATTTTTTTTTTAAAGAAAGTTTAGGTGATTAGGTTTTAAGGGTTCATCAGGGTTAAGTTAAGTCTTAAGGCTCTTTCTCTCTTGTTATATCTCTTCGTATTTTATCATTGTACTATTTCTTTCTTGTTGTCACATCTATCCATTTTTGTCGTCGGGCTCTTTCTCTCTTGTTAAATCTCTTCATGTTTTGTTGTCGCACTATTTCTTGCTCATCGCATCTTAGTGTATCTTGTCATCATGTTATTTCTCTCTTGTCGCACCTCTTCACGTTTTGTTATTGAGCTCTTTGTCTTTTGTCGCATCTCTTTGTGTTTTGATGACAGGCTCTTTCTTTCTCATTGCGTCTCTTCGCATTCTTTAACAACCTCTTTCCTTCTCGCTCTTGCATCCTCTTTTTGTAACCACCACATGTTGCATTTCACCACCACTACGTTTGATTCCAAACCACCACACTATCAATATTTAAACAATAATGATAGGAAAAAATAGACAAAATAAAAAATAATTTACTTGGACGTGTAAGAAGGAGGATCATGAAGAAAAAAAGACAAAACCAAAAACAAGAGTTTGGAATGCGAATTGCATTTTCGATCTAAAATTTTAAAACACTTTTATGTCGAGTATCATTTCATTTGTCATAGAAAGTTTCTTCTATGCCGGATGTCATTACACCCATCATATAAAGGTTGCGGTCAACTACAAAGTTGACCCTTTCCAACACATTTTATGACAGGTGTTGACTCATCTGACATAGAAAAAAATTATGACGGATGAGGCAATACCTGACATAAAAAGTCTTGTCATATTTACAACTTTGTCATCATGTCACTTTCTATATGTTATGTGGATTACACATGCCATAAAATCACCATTGTGACACCCTCTACCCCGCAATCGTAGATAAATTTAAACTTTTTAACACACACACACACATATAAATTAACCCAAACCCATGTATAAATAATCCAAGTGAAATCTCTAACATAAGGTAAAAAGTATCACATAACAAACTCTTAAACAAACTCCATACTAAGTGGAAACAAAAAACTAAACTTGAATCCTATCATAAGAATTAATAAAAACAT